AGTGCACAACAGCTGGAGAGAAAATATCTGCCAATTCTGGGCTTCCTAGAAATTTTTGGCTGACCGGCCAGTTCAACTGGCCGACTGGCCACTTCAATTGGCTGGCAAGGGTCATTTCTGGCCGGCATATGGCCGGCATGCTCCATAAGTGGCCAACACACTTCCATAGGGGTTGGCAGCAAAAATCAGTCCTAGTCCCTGACTTGAAGCAAGCATAACTCCCTCATCTGGACGTCTTTTCAGGTCATTCTTATGTCCAAATTGAAGCCCCGGAAGTAAGCTTTCCAATGGTGTAGCTTCACATCAAAATTCCAACTATGCTAAGAGATATCCCTCTTTTAGCGAAGACTGCTCAGTTTCGGTCCAACCGGATTGATGCCTAATTTCAACCAGCCATATCTCCCTTATCCGGACACGGCTTTAGGAGATTCTTGAGTGCAAAATGAAGCCCCAGAAATCTTCTTTCCAATGGTGGTGGCCTCATAGATGAAATCCAAATGTACAAAAGGATAGGCCTGATTTACTGAGAGCCGCTCGACTCTCTCTTAACGATTCATGCCTAACTCCTTCCACTCCAAACCCCTAAGCAAGGTGTTTTGAAAGATTTTTCAAAGATTTCATCTCTCTTTTATTCATTTCCACTTTGTCCTTGCTCAGTTTACCGAAAAGCACAATATTTAACAAAATGCGAGCCTTGGAACATCGTACAAACTTTATTTCAAAAATATTTTAAAAGAGAGGGTTTTAAGGTCTAAAATATTTTTGGTCCAAAAATGGGGTGTGAGGTTAGGATTTGGAGCTCCCCTTGCCAAAGAAATCGAACCTTTGCATAGCATAGCCTGCATCACTAAGTAAGCAATCAGTAGCGCCCAAGTCTTAAGGGCGGTCAAAAATGGGGTGTCTACACCATTCGATCCTTTTGGCATGACTGCACTGATAACGTCGAATCTCTAGACCGAGAAAGGCCATGGCGAAGTCATGTTGCATAGTTTTGATGACGAAATATTCATGTGATTGGCATGAATTTGGCATTTATGGCATCGCCGAACAAAACCAATACAATCCTCCTCTATTGTGGACCAGTAGTAACCTTGCCTTAGAATCTTCCGTGCTAACAAAATACATGGCCAAGATGGCACCGGAGTGTCAGCCGAGGTGCCACGTGTATTGGTCATGATGCCGAGGTGATCTCGGCTAGGTCGAGGTTATCTGCGGAGATATCGGAATCCGAGACGGGTGGATAAGGGACAAGAGTCCTAGAATGGGGGAGGACCTCAGACTGGATAAAGATAAAACTCTCAGAGAGTTTATCTCTATATGGCTGGGAATCTAAGATAAGCATTGAGCCAAAGTCCATTGAAGCTAGGTTTCTACAGGGATCAGGTTAGTGCTGGCTATAAAAGTAAGGCACACTCGTGAGTCTAATGTATGCTTTTTGTATTCTGGCTTGTGAGTTAAGCACTATTTGCCATCTTTGAGAGATAACTGAGTACTGACTTGATCGTCGGAGCGTCCCCGGATGGACGAACCACCGCCGGAGTCTTATCTTTCTGTGACAGGTTGTTCGGGCGTGATCTATTCTGCCTATGCTCTCCTGCTAAGTTCCTATTTGGTAGTGTCATGACCCGAACCCGCCCCATAGATTAGGATCATAACCAGTCAGTAATCATTGGATTACCTACGGCCTTAAACAGAAAACAGATTTTTAAATAATCATATGGGGCCAAAAGTGGAAGCAGACTTAAAATTTTTGTCCAATGATGATAAAGCGAAACATTTCATAAACGGTCCATAATAACTCACACATAAAACAGAGTTAATATCTTATACATCCAAGAACTTCAAGACATGCAGTCAGCCAAACAAAACAAACTTATATGCATGGATGATCCAACGTATTCACTGATAAAGCAAAAGTGTAAACACATGAATAAAAATAAAGTCTCGTGCGTGAGACGTGCGGGCTGACTCCACAAAACTTGACTTCCTCTCATATCTTTCACTGAGGTTGGGTTTGGACATCCCTTTGCTCACCTACACACATATAAATAAGAGTGAGTGATAGCCTAGTGAATAATATTAAAATAAAGAAGTTACATGAATGAAATTCGTAACAGACATATCTAACGGCCTTAGGCCCATTCACATTTTTATCTAATATATCAAACGGCCTCAGGCCCAATTCGCTCTTATTAAACGGCCTCGGGCCCAATTTGTTTGTATCAAACGACTTTTGGGATAGCCCAGTGAATAATATCAAAATAAAGAAGTTACATGAATGAAATTCGTAATAGACATATCTAACGGCCTTAGGCCCATTCACGTTCTTATCTAATATATCAAACGGCCTCAGGCCCAATTCGCTCTTATTAAACGGCCTCGGGCCCAATTTGTTTGTATCAAACGACTTTTGGTTCAATCATTCATGTCAAACGGCCTTCAGCCGAATCATTCATGTCAGACGGCCTTTGGCCCAATCATTCATGTCAGACTATCATTCATGTCAGATGGCCTTTGGCCCAATCATTCATGTCAAACAGCCTTTGGCCCAATCATTCATGTCAAACTATCATTCACGTCAGACGACCTTTGGCCCAGTCATTCATGTCAAACAGCCTTTGGCCCAATCATTCATATCAGACGGCCTTTGGCCCAGTCATTCATGTTAGACGGCCTTTGGCCCAGTCATTCACGTCAGATGGCCTTTGGCCCAATCGTTCATGTCAGACTATCATTCATGTTAGACGGCCTTTGGCCCAATCATTCATGTCAAACTATCATTCATGTCAGACAGATTTATGTGTGTTTCATACTCATGATCATGATCGTATTTGTATTCACTTAGTCTTAAGGAAAAGACTGACATTTAGAATACTCATTCTTAATTCAAACATACAAATCAGACTACGTCAAGAAGATCAACTGGGGAATCCCCATTTTCCATGGCTTATGGCACAGAAGCAGTCATCCTACTGGAAGTCGGCATCCCAGAGATCAGAACTCAAGGAGTAGAGAATGGGACTAACGAGGCATTCTTGGCCTAAGATCTAGACTTACTTGAGGAAAAAAGTGAGAGAGCAAAATTCGGCTGGAGGCATACCAGCAACAATTGGCTAGGGCTTATAATAAGAAGGTCAACCCCAGAGAGTTCAAAGTTAGAGACCTGGTGCTAAGGAAAGTGGTCGACAACAAGAAGGATCCTAGGGAGGGCAAGCTGGGCCCAAATTGGGAGGGGCCTTATAGAATTATCTTGGCATGTTAGACGGCCTTTGGCCCAGTCATTCACGTCAGATGGCCTTTGGCCCAATCGTTCATGTCAGACTATCATTCATGTTAGACGGCCTTTGGCCCAATCATTCATGTCAAACTATCATTCATGTCAGACAGATTTATGTGTGTTTCATACTCATGATCATGATCGTATTTGTATTCACTTAGTCTTAAGGAAAAGACTGACATTTAGAATACTCATTCTTAATTCAAACATACAAATTAGACTACGTCAAGAAGATCAACTGGGGAATCCCCATTTGCCATGGCTTATGGCACAGAAGCAGTCATCCTACTGGAAGTCAGCATCCCAGAGATCAGAACTCAAGGAGTAGAGAATGGGACTAACGAGGCATTCTTGGCCTAAGATCTAGACTTACTTGAGGAGAAAAGGGAGAGAGCAAAATTCGGCTGGGGGCATACCAGCAACAATTGGCTAGGGCTTATAATAAGAAGGTCAACCCCAAAGAGTTCAAAGTTGGAGACCTGGTGCTAAGGAAAGTGGTCGACAACAAGAAGGATCCTAGGGAAGGCAAGCTGGGCCCAAATTGGGAGGGGCCTTAGAGAATTATCTTGGTTGTTGGCAATGGTGCATAGTGGCTTGAAGATAGTGAGGGCAAAGAGTTGTCAAGATCCTGGAACACTTGCGACTTAAAGTTTTTTTATCATTAGATTTTTTTTTTTAATTTATGTCATTAGCCAAAGTAATAATATATATATATATATATATATATATATATATATATTAGCTTGATTTTTGAAATTTGTGTAATAAGACTAACAAGTCCTTTGGTGATGTTTCCGATTAAAACATGACAAATAACTTAAACTTATTATATGGCAGAGTTGAATTATACTTGCATATAATAGAGTTGAACTAAGTTGAGCGATATTTCTGATTGAAACATGACGAATAACTTAGGCTTATTATATAACAGAGTTGAATTATACTTGCATATAATAGAGTTGAACTAAGTTGAGTGATGTTTCTGATTAAAGCATGACTTAGACTCATTATATGGCAGAGTTAAATTATACTTGCATATAATAGAGTTGAACTAAGTTGAATTGAAATTAGACTTGCAATGTCGGCAGAATTAATTAACAAAGAAACCAAGGTTGAGAACCTCGGCTAATCTTTGTTTGAATCTGACTTCAGCGAAAGATTATACGTGCACTTATGTTCACATTAGGGGACAGAGAGCTGGAGAATGATAGATGAGCTTAAAAATTTGAAGTGTTTTGGCTTAACACTTGTTGAAATTTCAGAAAAATTTACAAGTTGCAGTTAAGCCGAAGTAATATTGAAAAGAAATACCCGACGTACGTACTTGCTGAGGTGACAAAGTTGCCAAACTTGGGAAAGATAGAAGATAGAAGTCTTGATAGAAGACAGTAAGTAAGAGTGAAGTGACAAAGTGTAAATAAACAACACTTATAAAAATATTTCATAATATTTTTAAGTGTTAAGCCAAGACCAAGATAAACAATCAGATATATCCGAGGTACTTTACTCCGAGGAGATTATACAATTAAAGGTATACTCTGAAGACATGAAAAATTATTCTAAGTATGAAAGTGGTAAACATACATAAGAGAAAAGAAGACATTCAAACACTTAGAAGAAAGGAGGAAACTTGCATTCAAAAGAAAATATGAAGCTAAACATTGTTCTGACAAAACAAAATAAAACTGAAAGAAGAAATAGTACAATGAAAAGATGACATATCCTAAGTACTAGGACTGATCTGTGATTTGTCAACCTGAGATGGCGGTGTTGCATTCTTTTCAGTAACTATCTCGGCGTCTATTTTTTGCAAAGTCTGATCCAGACTCCTTTCGGTGCACTGAACCTCGGCCTCAGAGGAGGTTGGTTTGGGAGAGATGCCCTTGGAGACCAAGTCATCCTCCTCATCTTGAGTTAAGTCTATCTGTTCGTTGAGAGTGGGAGACTTGGGATCAGTGGCAGCCTCTTCCTCTACTTCATCGACTCCACCATCCTCGGCATCATCTTCGTCGGCTTCATCGCCAGAGACGTTAGGCTCTGGAGGGAAAGGCACTTGAAGCTAATTGATGTCTTAGAGGTCAGAGTCCATCTGCACAACTAACTTATTGAAAGCCGCCGTCTAACCAAGGTAATAACCTCAGTTGCAAGCCAAGTTGCCTTGTTGTTTGTATTGGTCACGGACGGCGGTCTGTCCCTCTTCAAATGCTTTTTCATCAGCCGCATTTACCTCGGCCTCCTTAGAGGCAAGGGCCTCTTGAAGCTTGGCCTCTAAGTCAGCTGCCTTGCCCTTGGCAGCTTCAAGGTCGGCTCTTGCGGTCTCGGCTTCGTCATTGGCCGTTTTGGCTTTTTCCTCGGCCAAATCTTGAGTAACTTTGGAAGCTTCAGCCTGATCTAACAGGGCTTGATTGTTGGCCCCAGCGTGATGGAGTGAGGATAGGAGTTTGGCAACTTCCTTGGTCTTCCTTGCCAACCCCTTCCTCATCATCTCGGTTTTGACAGCATAAGAGTGAGCATGCTGGATGGCCTGCAACAAGTAAAACAGGTTAGTAAAATTTGACTAAGTATAGAAAGACTACAAAAGAGTAAAGACTTACCAAGACCGAGTGTTGCATCATGAGGGGCGAAGTTTTCGTATTCGTGCAAATCGGCTATGCAATTCATATCTTTTGGGAGAAGAACAACCATTGGCAGGGCTACGCCGACTTCAAGATTCATTGTGTTGTCGCCCGCTGTCAAGGGTTTGTCATCTACCATAACCTCGGGGGCCCAGGTCATATTGCGAGAAAAACTTTGGCTACCCTTAGGTTGCTCAGACCTTGGCTTTTTGGATGGTTGGGAGTCAGATGCATCGACCTCGGCTGGCCTTTTCTCCGCAGTCATTCGGCTTTTCTCCGTCTCGACCAATTTGGAGATTGGCACAGTGTCCTTAGATTCAATCTGAGTCATTATGGCCTTGGCCTTCTTCATTCTTTTTGGCTTTGGCTTTGGCTTTGGCTTTGGCTTTGGTTAGGATGGGGAGGACGAGGATTGCACCGTCATAACCCCAGGGATGTTGGCGAGAAGGTCTTCAACAACTGCTAGTTTGCGGCCCATATCGTCGGCAGTGGAGGCAACTGTAACTTTAGTGCCAAAATGTATTGTTGGAAGGGCGGTAGGAAGATTGAATGGGTCAAACATTGGAGTGTCAGAACCTCGGCGTCTGCGGCTTCGAGTCCTCCCAGCTAAAGCATTGGTAGGAACTCGGCGACGGTGTTGGCGTTGATGTGGAGGAATCAATTGAGAAGCTGAGGTGGATGGTTGTTCCATAGGACCGGAGGTAGATCCCTGATCTGGCCTTAATGATGATTCAGCTTGTGGAGTTGTGGTAGAAGGAGGGAACTTACTCTTCTCTGGACGTCGGGAAGTGCTGATTTGTAAGTCGGAATATAATTGAGCAGCAGGGGGGCTTTGCGCTGGTTAACTGGCAAGCCCAACAGCTTCTTAAAGTCTTTGCTGGGGAAGAAGGTTTTGTGAAAATCTTTTGATGGCTGAGGGAGAGCTGCAAGTACAAAATTCAGACGTTAGAACATATAAGGGGAATAAAATGATAAGACTTAAAAGCAGAAAAGTTGACACTTGGTTCTTACCATCACTCTCTTTAAACACTGTTCGGCTCAAAGGATAGAGATGGAGGTCATGATCAAGAGAGAGCTCCCAGTTGCCCGAGACGATGAAATAATCATCTCCAGCGCCTTTGTTGGAGTCTAGTAGGTCAGCTATGAGTTTATAGGCTGTGGATCTCAGCTTGAGGTAATAGACGTAGCTTTTTTTAGATTTCAGGCCACACATGATATAACAATATTGGATATCGGCTAGTGTTATTTTAGCATTTTCTCGGCTAGTTAGAGCAATTATACCATTGATGACTCTATAGGAGTTAATGGCCAGTTACATCGGGTTGAGCTTGTAATAATGAAGGATTTGTCAGAAAAGGATGTGTAGAGGGAACCGGAGTCCACACTCTATAAAGGCTACTATTGGGAAGGGCATGGAATCCTTATCAGACATGATGGAGTCCTCCTCCCCAGCCAACCGAAGATGGACGTTGGCTAGGATGCAGAACTCTCTCCTAAAGTACTCAAGTTTTTCTGGGGTATCTACCCTCTACCTGAATATACCCATGATGTCGACAAATGGAAAAAGGGCAAGATTTCAGAAGAGAGTGGCTAGTGTGGGTTTGAAGGACCTCGACTAAACCCTAAACAAGAGCAAGGTCTAGGGTTTTTCAAGATCTAGGGGAATTTGTTTTAATTTTCCTAGAGATAGTGATTTCTATCAAAACCGAAGGCTAAATCTATATGGAAATAAAGAATCAATGGCAATAATCTGAAAACAAGACAAAGAGAAATAGAAAAGAAAACATGATTCAGGCTCAAGAAATTCAAGAACACTGAGTAGGTGTGTGTAGATGTGCAAAAACTGAGAACAATGCTAAGATTCCTAGAATCTTAAGTGCATGAATAGTTTGTATATACAAACCCAGAGACAGATTGAAAAAACTAAGTCGCAAACAGACACGTTTTTACACCCAAATGATGGAATTTAAAACACAAGCAAAGATTCAAGAACATGAAGCAGACTCACAATGGCAACAAAAAACATATAAACATGCAATAGAGTTTGAAATAAATCAAAGACTGAAGAGGGGGGAGATAATGGCTTACCGAAGAGAATAACATCGAAATGAAGAGTGCCGAAGCCGGACGACCTAAATGATCACAAACAGGTGACGAAATGCTCGCCGGAGGAGATGATTGAAGCAGTTGCAGAGCTTGAAAGCTTGAACAATGGCAGTTCGAGAATGGGAGTATAGAGAGAGAATATTCGCAAGACGAGAGAGATTGTTTTTTGCAGAAGTGAAGAGACGGAGAGAGAGGGAAAAGTTTTATTGAAATTGTGAAAAGACAGTAAACCATAATGAATATGCCTTGGACGACGTGTCTGTCAGGCGGTGTATGTAGAAGCAACACGACCCGATAGCGCATGTTAGGTACGAATCACTGAGAAATGGATGCGTGGATAAAACGGTTGAGAAAAGCGTGCGTGACAGCTCATACGCAGATAGAACTCTTGAAGTTCTTGATTTAATGAAGCAAGAACCTCGGCTAGAGGAATGGTCCGGGTTAAGGAACTTGAAAAACTTGGTTCTTGGTTCAAGCCGATGTGTGATGATCTTGGTCATGAAGGATGGAGTAAGTCTTAGCCGACGTGCTATGTGGACAAACGATATAGGTTCCACCACCTCAGGATGTCGAGGTAATAGAACCTAGGGGGCAGTTGTGGGGACATATTTTGTGAATGACAACACGTGGCCAAGATGGCACCGGAGTGTCAACCGAGATGCCACGTGTATTGGTCATGATGCTAAGGTGATCTCGGCTAGGCTGAGGTTATCTGCGGAGATATCAGAATCCAAGATGGGTGGATAAGGGACAAGAGTCCTAGAATGGGGGAGGACCTCAGTCTAGATAAAGATAAAGCTCTTAGGAAGTTTATCTCTATCTGGCTGGGAATCCAAGATGAGTATTGAGCTAGAGTCCATTAAAGTTAGGTTTCTATAGGGATCAGGTTAGTACTGGCTATAAAAGTAAGGCACCCTCGTGGGTCTAAGGTGTGCTTTTTGTATTCTAGCTTGTGAGTTAAGCACTATTTGTTATCTTTTAGAGATAACTGAGTACTGACTTGATCGTCGGAGTGCTCCCGAGTGGACGAACCACCGTTGGAGTCTTATCTTTCTGTAACAGGTTGTTCGGGCATGGTTTATTTTACCTGTGCTCTCCTACTGAGTTCCTATTTGGCAGTGTGGTCGGAAATCAGCACCCACAAAAACATATGCACATGAACAATGAAAAGACAATTTTATCTTTGAATTTTTTTTTGAAAACAAGTGTAATCATTCAATTATCAGGGGTAATTTTGTCATTTCTTTTCACACATCATTTTTTTTTTTTTGTTGAGAAAATCAGCACAACAGTTACATAGAATTGGAAGATAAGCACCTAACAAGTCCCATAAGTGGTTGGGCAACCCAATTAGGGGATAAAGTATTTTGTAAACATGTAGAAGCAACCTAGTGAGCTACCTTATTTCCATTTCTAGGAAACCATTTAAAAACCAGTCGCCTGCTCATGGCCATGGATCTAACATCACTGAACACAACAAGCAGCTCCCACGGAGGGACCCCTTCTAATACACAGAGGTGAATAACTGATTTACAATCACTTTCAATTTCCATTTCAGCAAAATTGAGAGCAACGACCATAAGACACGCTTGTCGCTATGCACTTAATTCTCTTTGAGCTACTAACCTCAATCAAATCTTTTGAACCATTCCATCCACTAGGAGGCCCGTTTCATCCTGAAGAAGAACTGTCATAGCTCCTGTGCTTTGCTTCAAATCAACGGATACATCGCAATTAAATTTCCATTTGCCCCTTGTAGGAGGAACCCATCCAGACCCTCTGCTATCTACACCAGTTACTGCAGTCGAGAGGGTTGAGGGCACTTTGCATGTTGCCAAGAATTCGGCTCTTTCCTTCACTATTACCCCTGCTGGGTCAACCAGGCAATGATTAAATAGATGATCCTTTCTTCCCTTCCAAATGGTCTAGGCTGCCCAAACCATTGAACAAATCACAGACTTTACCCAACTAGATACACCCATTCGAACCATTTTCCAAACCAATCTTTAGCCAAAAGTTTGTCAAGTTCGTCGCATATCAGACCAAGATCACACCCAAACCAAACTCTTTTTGACCATTCACATTCAAGCAATAGGTGCATGATAGATTCTGACGCTTTCAAACACACAGGGCAGCAGTCTGAATTGGCATAGTGTCTAGAATAAAGTTTATGTTGAGTTGTCAAAGCATTATGATAAATTCTCTATATGAAGTGCTTGAGTTTTGGAGGTAAGTTCAAACTCCACACAAACTGCCAATCTTTCTCAGATCAACCCATAGAAGAAGATGGCAAATTTGACTCGAAGTGAGCTTGTTTCATTGCTTCTTGATACCCTGACTTAACCGTATAACAACCCTTTGAGTCATGATGCCACAGAAGAATATCATATTTGTCCTTTACTGAAACTGGAAGTGAGAGTATAGCATCGCAATCCGCTCAAGACATTAGGCTTCTAAGCTTCATATCATCCCATAGCTTGCTGTAAACCTCCTTCAAGAATTTCTCTCCCCTGAAGTAAGCTAAGCCAAGCCCATGAAGGTTGTGACTTGGGGGTAGTATATTCCTTTTATAATTTTAGCAAATAAGGAGTCCATGAATTTAATTAATCTCCAACCTTGATGAGCAAGGAAAGCTCTATTGAAAGCCAAAAGTCCCAAAGGCCCAAACCACTATTTCCTTTTGTCAAGCACAATTTACTCCAACTGGCCCAATGAATGCCTCTTCTTCGGATCACCTTTCCATCAAAATTCCTAATGTAGGAGCTCAATTAATCACACAGTTTGTTGGGAAACAAGAAACATGCCATTGCATAAGTGGGCATTGCCTGGGCAATCGATCTTCTCAAACACAAAAATTAAAAAAAATGCTCAGTGGCCTGAATATGTGTGGTTTGAATGGCTCGAATGTATTAAAACGACGTTGTTTTGACACATTCAAGTCATTCGAGCTATGTAAATTCGGGTCACCAAGCATTACTGAAAACTAAAATAGTCTATTAAAATAGATAAATAGTTAGAAAGTCAAAAAAGTAACCACTTTCCAAATGTTATTTTTGAATAAAATTTAGAATTCAATTTTTGAAACCGTAGCATTACTGATCAATTTAAATATGGAGAGAGAAAGAGTATGAAAAGAAAGTTTTGTTTGGGGTAGTATGTTTGGTTTGTCTTTGGGGTAGTATGTTTGGTTTGTCTGAATAAGGCTGATTTGAATATGTAACCATTGAGATCAATTGATCAATGGTA